CCGCCGAATGTGGCTTGCTCCGGGAACTTAAAGTCGCTCGGTATCTTAAAGGCCATAACCTCGTCTGAGAAGGGTAAGGCGGTCAGCAACGTACGTCCTGGGGATTTGGTTTATCCCTCCATCCGCTCTTTCAGACTTCGTACCTCCTGTACTAGGTTGGCCACTTCGATCCTCTCCCGGGTGCGATTTCCCGTGGATTCCGTGCTTTCGCCGACTTCAGATTCAGCCGGTTGGACGGGGTTGCGAGGAGGTTGCTCCACACGACGAGTCTCAGTCCTGGCTCTTTTGGTTCGGCTTTTCTCTCGTGCAGCTTGTCGGTCGCGGGCGACTAACGGGGCACGACTGGGCTCCTTCCGGCCTAATCACTCTCTTGCCGACCGACGTCCGACGCTGGGACCTAGCCGGGAATGAACGGATTGCACCGGTTGGCTTTCAGCCCGTCGGCTCAATTGCCGATTGTCCGGCCTCTGAGGCGGTTGCAACTCGCGTTGCAGTTGGCGAGTGATGGACTGTTCTCTCACTCCTAGGCTCGCTTCCGCGCAGGCGCGTCCGATTGCACGCAACTGCTCCGGGGTGAGCAACACTTGAGGTAATTGCGGGTTTCTCAGCAGCGTCGGCGGCGGTGTCGTCTCGTTTTCATGGCTTCGGGCATTTCTTCTATTCAGCTGGTTTCTCAAGTCGGCCTCTCGTCCGTTGTCTTGACGGCTCGACTGTTCCCCGCTTCCAGCCATGTCTGGAGTTTGCCTGATTCAACTATTGTTTCTCGGACTCTCCTTACTCAAGAGGACACGCGACTCTTCGTTTCGATCCCCACGGACGGCGCCAGTGATGGTTTTTGGGTTTTCGGGCCCAAGGAGGTCCAACACAACCTTAAGCTGGAGGATACACCTTTCACAAAAAGTCTAGATTTTAGTGAAGTATGATGCTCAATAGTGCTCTCTATTCCCTCTCCGGGTTTTCTCAATCTGCCTCTTACAAGGGTGGAGGAGCCCTTTTTATAGTGGCTCCTCCTCTACTGACTTAAAGGCTCATGATGGCCGACTTAAAGATTACATTCAATGTGCCGAGCCGTTGGGCGACGTTACGGACTCTGCCAACGGCTCTCTTTGGCTAGTAACTGGCGGACCGAGTCCGGCCTTTAATGCCTCAACGGCTCCTTGTCTTAACTGCTTTGAAGGCTCCCTCAACGGCTCTCTGGATCGGGCCTGGGCCGACTCCTCGTCTCTGTTTGGCATTGGGCCGTCCTTCCGGGCTCTGAACTGGGCCTCCCTCTTTGGACCTGGGCCGAGTCCTGGACTCGGCCCATGCACTCTTTCTGGGCCTCTTTTCTTGGGCCGGGGTTCTCACCCCATCACTTACAATTTTGTTGATCGACAACAATTTAATTGTTCATTCTAATAAAGTTTTAAGAGGGAAAAATTAAAAAAAAAGTTACTAAATCCGTTACTAAATTGAAAAAAAAAAGTATTTTAAAATTTCAATTCGTTGCATGAATAATAATATTGTGAGACCAATAAATTTAAACAAATAATTATTGAACTGATATTAAGTAATTAGAAAATATGATGTATTTCTTAATTTCGTTGAAAACAATAAATTTTACCTGAAGATGATACTGTATTTATTAGGTTGTTTTAGATTTGCTCCAGTCACCTGATTTTTCAGATCGGCATTTGGAGAGGAAAGCAATTCCACAACGGCCGAAAGCTACGGTCAAATTATCTGAAAAGATTTTTAGCAGTGGATTACTTGGACATGATTTAAAATCGAGTCTGTCAATTTTATTGTAAGCAGAAGACGTCGGAAACAGAGAAGGTTCGCGTAAGTCAGTGAACATTTTAGAGAGAATGACGAACGCAACAGAGTAGACGGAAGCGCAATCATAAAAAAAATATGGGTTAGGGTTTGGTAATCAGGTTTTATAATTAGTTAATGGGCTCGGGTATTGGGCTAAAATGCAACGTAACTGGGTTATATGGATAGATAATTAAGTGTTTATTGGGCTTAGCATGACATGTTTTATTTTTTCTTTCATGTCATGAAATATTTCATATTTAGTTTAGATTTATATATGTTGTATGTATATAATTATTATAATTAAGCAATGTTTAAGAAAAGATTTTCATAGTTAGTTTCAATGTGTGATGATGATAGTGTATTTTTTATTTATATATTGTCAAGTATATGTACTATAGGCTTTAATTGCAAATCATATTAATAAATGTTTTGTATATAAGAAAATTTAATTTCATTATTTTTTATTGTATATTGTTTCATTTCCTAATTTTTAAATTTTTTTATACAAATGTGTGTGTGTGTGTGTATAATTATTTTAATGTAAAATTTTTAAATCTCATGTGGTATCTAATAACACAATTCTTTATAATATATGCTAATAGTATGTGATGTTCGATATAACAACCAATTTAGTATTGTTAAAGAAAAATACATTTCAGAATAAATTTTAATTTCATGATTAATATTTTATTTTATTGTTTTTAAAATATTATCAACAATAAAGTTACTTAAATTTTATGCCGTGCATCGCATGGGGGCAAAAACTAGTTTGATGAATATGAAATTAATTATTACCATATTATTTATGTTTATATTGAAAAAAGGAAGTAATTCAAATATGCTAGTCAATAATTTTGAAATAAAATTAATTAAATGAGTAATAAATATGGTTTGTTATTATTTCAGACTTGGATCAAAATTCCAGAAATCTATATTCTATTATACTGATATATATACACTTCTTGTTTACTTAACAAAATTGTCTGCACGGACTTAGCTTACTAGTTCAATAGATCATGAATTAATGCAAGTGTTAATTTTTTATGGAACCCGCTACATAGAAGGAAGAAAAAAAAAGCCTAATCGTTGCGGATGGTGTTAGAACATCCCAATCAGAGTATAATATGGGGAGATTAGTACACAAATATGCAGCTCAACAGATGAGAAGCAAGAAGAATGCAAAAAATAATCCTCCTGCAAAGAGTGAGAGAATAAAAAAAAAAAAAAAAAAGAAATAGCGCACAAGGCCAAAGCCGCACGCGCCCGGTGGCGCGTCAGGCGCGCCAACCGGCGCGCATGACTTTATTGATTACCTTTTATTATTATTATTATTATTATTATTATTATTATTATTATTATTATTATTATTTTGTTTTAAATTCTGTTCTGTTTTGTTTTTTTTTTCTCTTCAATCTCACATTATCTTTCCTAATCACTTTTAGGGCTCGTTTGGTTCGCGGAAAATATTTTAAAGGAAGTGGGATTGAAATTCCATGAAAAACAATTACTAGAAAGATGAATTTCATTGGTTGGTTGGTGGAAAAAGAATTATTGGGAATACTAATTCTACTGTTTGGTTAGATTTGAAATTGTAAGGAATAACAAGTATAAAGACCTATATGCCCCTACAAATTAATAAGAGTAATATAATTAAGAAAAAAAACAAGGGTAAAATAGTCAAACCATATCACTTTTTCTTTCCATCTTTCATGGAAAACAAAATTCTTGGTCTAACAAAGAATTTTGTTTTCCTCAAATTTGAGGAATTCATTTTCCAATAGAAAATAAATTACATGAACCAAACACCAAAAAAATAACATTTTCCTCCACTTTAAGGAAAATATTTTCCTTTGAAAAATATTTTCCATGAACCAAATATCCCCTTACATTCTTCCCCTAATATCCTTAATTGATAATGTTGCTCTTAGGAGCATTTCTTGTGCCTAGCAGGCATGTGCAATGGCGCATAAAATTGCAGCAAAACTTTATTTTTTCTCCTCTTTTTCCCTCTTGAGCTTTCTTATTTGCCACTCAAAAAATTATCCAAAAATCTTAACTTTTGGAGATGCTTTTAGATATTATTAATGGGAAAAAAAGAAAAAACAAACAAAGAAAGAAGGTTTACAGTGGGTGTTTTATGTAATTAGACTAAAATAGGTGTACCCATTCTTAAATATTTAACATTTCCTAATATATATATATATATATTTGGAAAGGAACATTTCCTAATATTAAAACCTCCAATATGCGTAACCGTGTGAAGATTAGCTTCAACTGTAAGCTAAGATGTGGTCTGCGTACAAACTACGAATCTGCTTGAACTTGAAGCTACTCGTTTGATCCTCTTGCATAATGCATATATATATCTAAGATAGATAGTATATTCCTCCAATATTTCAAGAATCCCAAACTATTCCTTCCAAGAATATATAATTCTTTCTGGGCTATCCTTCTACTGTAAGTACGTTACTTCTCTCCTCTTGCTGTCTTGCTTTTCACGTTTGTATATATATATATTCATTTACCCATAATCTTTGATATTATATATGAATGAGTTATTGTGCTTAGTTTTCTTTAATTATTGGCAAGCTAAGATGATTATAACACATAATGAGTTGTAGTTGTATTGTGTGGCTAGCTGTTGTATTAGATTCATCCCGTCCAGTTTTTGTCTTTTTTGGACCAATATCAAAATGTGTGTATAAGGTAAATTTCACTTTTATTGTAATTCTAGTTGACAAAGGAGCACAAGAACATAAACTTCATCTCGGCCAATTTTTGTCTTTTTTGGGTGATGAGTGAAACTACAATCACTACCTAAGGGGTGTACACGTGTAACCTCACTTGCTGATGACCCTGGCCAGCAAAGAACCATAAGGAGCTAAACTTGTATTAGATTCATCCCGACCAGTTTTTGTCTTTTTTGGGATAACGAGGGAAACCCGCAATCATTACCTGAAGGTTTGCACGTGTAATTCTCGCCGCTTTGAGACCCTTGACGAGAGAAAACCGCAATCACTATCTAAGGGTGTGCATGAGTAAAACAACCTAAACCGTTCCCTAGCTAACCGACTCAAACTAAGAAGGATGGAATTTGAACTCAATTTTGTGATTATAAGTTGTCTTTGATGTAAATAAGTGATATATAGTAAAGTACTAAGGGATTGGATAAATCAATTACACTTTACACTTTTTGTTTTCAGGTGATATGCATCATTCTGCAGAGGCAACCCCATTCACTTCAATGCTATCTGTCAATTCTCCTTTTTCTGCTCAAACACAAACCAATCAAGTAACTGGATTTTCTTCTTCACAATCAAATTCCACTTCTCCTTTCCCTTTGCTTCATTCCAATATGTTCTCTGCTCAAACTCAACACAGTGGAGTAACACCATTTTCTCCGTTTTCTAGCCAATCAAATGCCAATTCTCCATTCCCTTCTGTTCATTCAAATCCCTTTTCACCTCAAACTCAAAGCAATAGTGTAACTGCATTTGCACCATTTTCCAGCCATTCAAACACAAATTCTCCCTTCCCATCAGTTTGCTCATCAAATGCGTTTTCTGGCCAGACTCAAAGCAGTGGAGTAACCACATTTGCACCATTTTCCAGCCTTTCAAACACAAATTCTCCTTTCCCATCAGTTTCTTCAAATGTGTTTTCTGGTCAGACTAAAAGCAGTGGAGCAACTGGATTTGCACCATTTTCTAGCCAATCAAATGCCAATTCTTATCTCTCAAATTATACAAATCCATTTACCTCTCAAACTCGGAGCTTTAACTCATCTCTGTCAACAACAATCCCCGTATCTGGAAGTAGTGTAGCACCTTTTACTTCTACTAAACAACCGGAAGGAAATTTTCATTCCATTTCTAGCATGCCGGTTTACCCAAGTAAAAGCCATGAAGAACTAAGGTTTGAGGACTATTCTTCAAAAGTGTTTTCTGGTCAGACTAAAAGCAGTGTACTAACTGGATTATCACCATTTTCTAGCCAATCAAATGCCAGTTCTTATCTCTCAAATTATTCAAATCCATTTACCTCTCAAACTCGGAGCTTTAACTCATCTCTGTCAACAACAATCCCCGTATCTGGAAGTAGTGTAGCACCTTATACTTCTACTAAACAACCGGAAGGAAATTTTCATTCCATTTCTAGCATGCCGGTTTACCCAAGTAAAAGCCATGAAGAACTGAGGTTTGAGGACTATTCTCTTTGCATAAAAGGTAATCCACTTAATTGTATTTCTTGTTTTCTGTTCATTACGAACGTTACGTTTCAAAACATATGTCGCACAATATACTGATTATTTTTCACTGGTTAATGCAGATGGACAGTGTGCCTCAAAACAAACTGGAAATGGATTCCAGTTAAATAATTCCTTTTATCCTTCTCTATTTCCCTATGTGAAACCAACCCCACCAATCAATTCTCATACAACGATTCCGGGTTTTATTTCACCAGCAAATACTCAACCAATCCCCTCGAACCCACCTGGACGGTTCTTCCAATTCCCACCTTCTACTTCAGCAACAACACAGCAGAATACTTTTGCATCTTCATCTGCTTTTGATTTTCCCAAATCACCAAATAGTGTATCTCGAGTTACAACTTCTGAATCGACCTTGTGCTCGAATTGCAATCGCGCCAAAACTCAGTCATTCGAGCCAGGTTTAGTTGGAGCAAGTACTAGCCTTTCTCCCAATCAACTGAAGCCATCAAGCATTCAACAGACTGTGCAGGAACTCGGGAAAGATGATGCTTCAGTACCGGTGTCTTCTAGCCATCCTGGATCGGTGATATCGGTTCAATATGGAATTTCTTCTTTATCTGTAAGTTTCACATTTGAATGCTGTTATAATAATCACTAGGTATTGTGTATTGCTGCAAATAATGTAGGAGGAAAATTAAGTTCTTTTTCAATTATGTTACTTGTTGCAGGTTTCTGACAAGGCAGCCCGAATAAGATCCTTGCTCAAAGTTCGACATTCTTCGGTTCGACATTCTTCTGTGAAACGAACTAAGATGTTATATCCAAGATACAATCGTGATACCATTGCTTCAAGGGTGAGAACTACTTTTCTGGCCTATAGTTATATAGATAGTATGGGGTGTTTGGTAAATAACTGTTAGCTGATTGGTTAGTGCGTTTAACTAGTTGATAACATTAGCTAATTGTAGAAAGATGTTTGGTAAATTGACTGTTAGTTGATTACATGCAAAATGACTTTCTCAAAAATCTGATCGAAAAAGTTACTTTGAATAGCTTTTTGAATTTTAGCGTTTTGTAACAATAAACTATTACAAAAAGCTAATTAATCAAACATTTATATTGGTTGTTTAACCAAGTCAAACAGCTAATAGTTGTCAAATAAATCAAAATTGGCTGATAAGATAACCATGTTACCAAACACGGTGGCCAACCAAACAGGGCCAATATCTGTTGGGCGGAGGCTAGTAAAGGGCCAAGTCTATCAATTGGTGGCTAGGCTGATGAATGTCCAAGTCCTCCACCCTGTCTCTAGAATATGTGATGGTGGTCTATGAAATAAAGTTGCGCCTTCGCTTAACTAACAAGTGGTATCATAGCCCAGCTCGGGTTTGAATCCCCAGACTGAACTATCAGGTGCTGGGAGGGGGAATTGTTGGGCGCTACTAGCTATAGCCTTTGGTGACGTAGTGGTAAACGCTCGATACTAACAATATTCTAACTTATATACATGTTATATATTTTGTTTTGTAGGTTCCTTTTTTCATGGCTGGTGAGGAAAAGGCAACAGAAGGAGTTGCAAAGACAAATTCTGTTATATTTCCAAGAGAAAATCCCCAGTCTTGGATTCATCCTCCAACTAAAGAGTCTCCCCAAAGTCATAATCCAAACACATCGCCTGAGATCGAACATACTTCTATCAATGTGTATGGGAATGGTAAGTTTTTTTTCTTTCTGAAACTCTTATGATATATAATTAATCAATCAAATTTTACAATGCTCTTTAGCTCATATTTATAAAAATGCAGGTAATGTAGTCACACAAGTGCAACGGGCCAATGAGAAGCAAATCGATACTTGTGAGGACATTATTGATGTTGATGGCAAAATGCCAAAGTTAAAGAACGACGAAGACTACTACACAGAACCTTCAATACAAGAATTGGCAGCAAGGGAAAAGGAAGAACCGGGGTTCTGCCACCGCGTTAAAGATTTCGTGGTTGGAAGGCGAGGCTTTGGTGCCATCAAGTTTACAGGAGAGACAAATGTTGAAGGGCTTGAACTCGATGCTCTAATCCAATTCAACTATCATGAGGTGATTGTGTACATGGATGATAGCAAGAAACCTCAAGTGGGAGAAGGCCTGAACAAGGCTGCTGAGGTGACACTACTTAATGTGAAGTGCATCAACAAGAAGACTGGTGAGGAGTATAAAGATGGGCATTTGGTTGATAAGTACAAGAATCTGCTCATCAGAAAGTCAGCAGAGCAAGGTGCAGAATTTGTGTCTTATGATCCGGTGAAAGGAGAGTGGAAATTCAAGGTCAAGCACTTTTGAGCTTTCCAAGTTTAGGGTTTAGGGTTAAGGGTATGTATGTATTTCTCCCAAGTCTCAAATACGGTCTATTGAGTCAGTGAGCTAAGCCCGTGCGGGCGGTTTAGGGGATCGCTACTTACATAGTTGTTTTGTAGTTGTGTAAAAAATGCCTAGATATAATATCGAGATGACATTTGGTTCATTTAATACGATTACGTCAAAAGTTTGGAATGAGTTTTATGATTGTTAAAATACTTGAATCTGGTAGTGGGTTGCAAACGAGATAAAACAATATGATAATTGATATCAAATCTGATAGTAGGGTACCTTAGATGTTTCTCCTTATCATTATCATTGTATTTTTATTTGAAAAATTATTAGATTCTCCAAAATCATTTTTTGTTTTTGTTTTTTTTTTTTTGGAAGATTAGTAAATGAATTTGACAAATCTTTACAAATGGATCAATTGGCAATTTGGCACAACTTCATAAAGTTTCTGTTGAATTTTCTTGAAATCAAAAACATCATTTGCAATTTCTTTATTTGTGAATGATAGCAACTTGTCAACATAATAATTGAACATATCATGCAACTTCAACAATTAACCTATATATTTGTAAATAATTGTTAGATTATTATCAAATAATACCTTTATGTGAATACATTTATTTGAGTAAGAGAGTATTTTATCTTTTTGATAGAAAAATGCATTTGCATGACCACAATACATGTAACGAATAAATTTAATACATTTTTAGAGTTAATTTTCTTGTCACAATAATTGAATCAAACATAATATATAGGATTTCCGATCCATTATCTATGAGTTTGATCTTTAGTCTTTACTTTGAACTATATAAAGAGTTAATAGAAGATACCCCATACTTTATGTCAATTTTCATCCAAATTAAATTAAAATTATTGTACATTATGCTATAAGAGATGTGATTTCTATTTTTTATTACCAAAATGTCACTGAAGGCTTTTTTATTTTATTTTTTATTTTTTTTTTTATTTTTTACAAGCCAACTTCATTAATGAGAATTATGGTTCAAAACATACATTTTTCAAAAATAAAGGTAGAGAGGCATGCCACTCCATATAGTCTAACATAGAACGTGGCTCCCTAGTCAACGCATGAGTTAGACACGATTCACAAACTGTTTAACAAACAAGAAATTTAAACAAACAAAGTAGCAACAATTTCTTTCACATCATCCACAATCGGCCCAGATGCATCACCTTCGAAATCACCCCATAAGGCATACACTACTTGTTATGCGTCTATTTCCACCTCAGATCAATTCCATCCAAGCCATCGGTAGCTTCTAATATTATAGGTTTTTTAAAGGTTTTTTTTTTTTTTTTTTTTTTTTTTTTTTTTTTTTAATGATTTTTTATGTGTCATGTAAGAGTGAAAAAAAAAAGAAAAAAAAAAACAGAAAAGAAGGCTGACAGTTGACACAACTTTAAAAAAAAAAAACAGGTAAGGCAGACACGCTCCAACAAACACGTGCACGAGTGGGCGTGCTGCATCTCCCACACGCGGAGACCAAGGAAAGCTTTGCTGCCACGTAAGTATGAGTGGACCTATTTAAAACCCAACCTTGGAGAAATCAAAAACCAAAAAAAAAAAAAAAAAAAAAAAAAAACTTCCACCTACACTAATTAAAAACTCAACTATAATTTTTTCATCAAAAATAACATAAAATGCACTTATGTACATGCTCTAAACCAACTAAGGGCCTTCTAGGCCCCACTACCTCCTCCTCATGGGCAGTGAAAACACCCTTCCAAGAGCTCCCCTTAACGGCACAAACGCACCCCATATATGCATCACGCAGAACCTACCCAAACCCCATGCAATTATGGCTGTGCGCAATGGAAGCATCAACATTAATTAAGTTTCAAAGCCCCCACCATTATTGGTTTTGTCTAGCGCTCTCCCCAACCCAATGCATTCTTCCCCAATAGTTATTGCTTGCAGTGGCGGACCCAGAATTTTTGTTCAGTGGGGGCGAAACGCATTAAAACAAAAAAAAAAAAAAATAGTATGATAAAAAATAAAACACTTAAAACTATAGTCATAAATATTATTGAATGTGGACGAAAAATAAAACGCATCAAAACTTTATAAAAAATATTCATAACAAAATATGAAACATAATTAATTTGATAAAATAATTTGAATAAAAAATACATTATAAACACATCTCATTATTAATATAAAAAAAAATTATAGAACCCTGGCTTCTCACAAATTAGACACATAGACAGGCCTTGCCACTTGATCTAATCATCTTTTGTTAACTTTTATCTATTTTATTATACTTATCTTAAACTTGTACTATATATACATATATACATACAAGAGTTATATATGGGGTGGGGGTGGGGTGGGGGGGGGGGGGGCAGTTGCCCCCATGCTGGGTCCGCCCCTGATTGCGTGGATTGTGGTCCACATAACTGTGTGAACTATAGTTAAAAAACGAAGTCATTTTGCTTAATTTTATTTTTTCGCGCGTCTAGCTGTAACATACATTTTTAGAACTCATAATGTACATTATTTTAAAACATAATGTACATTATATTATATTATCCCAGATGTTTCATTATTCTAACACGTAATGTACATTATTTTAACACGTAATGTACATTATTCTAACACATAATATACATTATTTTTACTCATAATATTCACGACGATATTTTTAGACTGTGGTCCACACTGTTACAAATATATATTATTAATGGACATTATTAGTATTTATTCTTGTAACGGTTGAAACGGTTTCTAGAATTTATTGTATAGATTATCTTGTACCCTATATATAATGTACCATTGTACATAATGTAAAAAGTATGAATAAGAGATTCTCCCTTTTCTGTCTGTTCTATTTTTTTCTTTTTAACACGGTTATCAGTACTTTGCTCTACCTACTTAGTGAAGAAGATGCCATCGGCGGCCGGAATCTGAACTATCGGAGATTGGGAAGGCCGGACGAAGGCCTCAGATGACCTTGGTAGAGGTTCGCCGGCCAGTACACATCTGATTGCCTCCTGGGAGAATTGGATGGCGTCGATTGAATCGGATGGCGTTGATAACTCCAAAGTTATATGTTGCATCACTTGGATCCAAACCCCAAAATGCAAAATTTGAATAATAGCTTTGTATATATGATCTGAATACTGTTGTGAATTGTGAAGAAAATACTGTGAATGCTAATTATGTGAGTAGGCATATAGTGAATCCTAATGTTGGAAAAATAGCATTAAAATGGCATAAAATGACACATTAAGTGGCTATTTTGTGGTACAATTATCAGTGGGGTCCACTTCCGATTTGGGTCAGGTCAAAGTGGATTCGGGTTCTTCGTAGTGAGACGAAGAGATTGATATATTGTACGCTCAAAACGGATAATGGGTGAATGAGATATTGATTCTCAAACGGATATGCCAAATTCTGTTTTCCCAGCTCCAAAATCTCTGCTCCTACTCCCTTCTTGTAGCTGTGTTCGTCCCATGCTCTTGTTCGCCGGGTTCGTTCGTTTGGGTGCTCAAACGTCGAACCGTTGTACGTTTTATCCTGGGAAGCCTAGGCCACAACGCTCCTAGCACTTTTGGGAGGTGGCAAATAAGGTTTTAAGGAAAGAATGACACTCGCCTAACTCGTACATTTCTTTCTTCCTTCTCCTTCTTTCTCGTTTGGATTATGCTTTTAAGCAAAAATCTGTTCTCTCTCTTTTGATATATTAGTTGGATTGGACTTATAATCCGAGGATTATTAGTTTCAATTTTGGTTAATATATATTGGTATATCTTTTTCGTAGATATACATGTATATATAATCTTCGGATCCGTTTATATATATTTGTGTGTGTATATATATTTCGGGTAAATATCCAATAATATTTTATATACTTGTGTGTGTATATATAAATATTATTTTTGGGATATTAAATCGATTGTGGTTCATTATCTCCAACACCTAATTCGTGAATAGAGTCCATCTTAAAGGAAAAAAGGTAAGGGATAATAAAGCTGTGAAGAGTAGGACTAATGTCCAAGAACAGGTTCCAGAATTTATTCTTTGAACTTACCAAATTGTGATGGTCTTAATAATGGTGTTATTGATGTTATTGTGAAATTATTGTGGATAACTGCTGTATGCAAATTGTCTCAAAGCCAGAACAATTTGATGTAATTGTAAGAAGCAAATTCTGCCTGCACAGGGCTACTCCTCCTTATTACCGCTGGAGTATTTGACTGCCTTTTCAACAGTTTAGTCATAAATGGCTCTGCCTAAATGTGTTTTAAATTGCTCCATATTGTGTCTCTTGCCATAGAAAGCAATAGATATACCTTTTTTCTTGAGATGGTGAAGCCCCCTTGCATTATGGTTTAATGGCACTGTATATTTTCAAAGGTTCTGAAGTTTTAGCTCTCTCTCTATAGTTATGAAATAATTTTTATGCTTAATACTACTTTGCCAAGTGCTCTAAGTTTTCCGTGGGAGAATGTGGTTGTTGATTGTTGAACCTACTTAATGAAAGTGATGTACTTAAAGTGCACTGTTCTTCTAGCATATAACTTGCAAAATTGTAACATCTCTATGTTATCAGTGGTTATATTACTGGTAAATGTTAGATGCATGGTCATCATCATCAAGTGCTCTGCTTCCCCACCAGTCCAGATTTCCTGTTTCTTTTGTTTGTGAAACTTTGTAGCAGGTTAACCATACAACAAAAGGAATTTGTTGTTGATAACAATCATTCGCTATAGGCCATGACTGCGACAACGTGAAGCAAACTCAAATATTGTTAAAGGCATAGTATGTGATACCTTATTGAATTTTGAACCACAAAACAGTGATATAGTTCTGTTAAGGTGCACCTGTTGTTGCTAAACCTTAGCTTGCATGTGATAAAAATTAAATGCTATTACCTGTTTATGGTGCTAGTTTTATCATAAAATTATATGACATGAGTCTTGAATCTTGAATATCTCAAATCGAGTATCAAAACAAAATAATAGTGCATATTTTCAATAAAATTTTGCCGAGAGGTAAACACTTACATCACTAATTTTTTTTTTACACCCTTTGGTCTAAACCATCAGTTATGAATATTTGATCTAAAAGGACCTATAGACCCTAAGTAAATCCCTGAAGGATATTTGGTGTATGTAGATCTCATTGTCAATTATGATGGTCATATTTTTGCTCATATTATTTATGACATTTTTTTTTCGGAAAGCAAATTAA